AAAATCAAATTGATGCCTCCTTTGATGTGCGTTTGATCAAAAGAGAGCACTTGGGATGCAAATACTCCTGCTAAAAGCACCGCCTGTGTAGCATTGAGCACTATAATGCGCTATCGTGCACTGATAACGCCACAAAGGAAGACGTGATGGACGAACTCCGCTAACATCAAGTAAAACACTGCTACCGACTAATATTGAACATCCCTTGCCCTGATGTGCTTTTCCTCACTCCTTACATGTCAGTGGATTCAAGTCGCTTATCCATAATGGCATCCGCCGATTATAGACAAGCGAATATTGAGTGCTGAAATAACTTTAACAACTTCCAAATGCAAACATTCATCCAAGATATGCTTCGAGTTTTATGCTACTAGGCATTAGTGGAAATGATTGGTCAAAGTCAAAATACACCTACGTAGGCGCACAACATGCTGTTTGGATATACATGTCACTAGAATTGCAACTTGTACACGAAGATGACAAGAATGTATAACGAATTGCTAACAGAGTTTTCGACTTCTCTGCAGACTTTTTAGCCACCATGTTTGGTGAAAAGGGACTAATTTCCACCTGCTTATCGTTAACGGTGTGTTGATGAACACTGTTGGACAATTCAGCCATCTCGAGTTGTCTGAACTCCACTTTGGTAACGTTTCTCGTGGGGTCAGCATTGGCTTTTGTACTTCAGACACTTTTATTAACGCTGACTGCGGCAAATTCGTTAAAAAATTACTGAAAAGAAGCTTCTGCGGCTGCTTTGGAGGCGGTACAAGTGCAGGTGAAGGTGGAGAGGCCGAATTTGGACCCCACTAATTTTCGTCTCCTCCAGCAATTGAGGCTTGACAGCACCTCGTCTGGAATGTGTACGTAAATCATTTACATTTAGTTTTAATGCCAAAGCGACCATTTAAAATAAAACTACAATACACCACATTTTGTCAACCTATATCGCATAAACAAACGAGAGACTTGCGGTCCTGCAGCATCCTCTCCACGTATCTGATCTCTGAGCCTTTCGGAACACCAACACCTAAGCGGTTAGGTGGTCAGGCAGCTAAGCAGCATCCATATCGGTGCGGATTCCTAATACCTTTAAAAATGACTGCCATCTCTACAGATCAAATGAATGCAGTGTCGTATCCACATGGGTTGAGAGTTCCTAACTGAATATCGGGTTGACTTTCGGGAGAAGAAGTCAAGGGTTGAGCAATCGGGTAGTTATTAAAGTGAACAGATGGTGATTGAGCCAATGCTGGGATTAGGATGAGTCCTCAGAAAGTGAACCTTTAATGGCAAGGCCGCTTTCCACAACCTAAAAGACCCACGTTGTACATCCATGCGACATCAGTGCTCCATAGAGAAAATGAAGCTTCACATACAGACCACAATTGTAGGAAACCTATACATCATTTTCAAGAATTGACTACTTTTTATCATTTTTCTTTCATTTGGAATAACCTGTAACGAAGGGTATACTTCGCCTTGGCAACACACGCCTTTACTCAACTCCTTTACCACAGATACGTTGAATGCGTTGGGAGATGTCAATGTTCAGAGACACCCCATTCTCGAATATAACATGGGTGAATCGCCCGCTTAGCGAAAAAGAAAAGATTTTATGGTACCTTAGTGTGAAAAGTTATCTCTTAACTGAGCAGAACTTGTCTTTGTCGAGGTACTTTGACAAATACCAATTTGGACTTGGAAGCATTGCATATGATGCTGTTGTCTTGACCACAAAAGTGAAGCCCAAAAGAGCAAAACCACTTAAAATGAATCAGCCACGCACCAGGCACAATAATTTAATCTGCATAAAAGTTAGACTTTGGTCAAAGAGAAAAAGAAGAAATCAAATGAACCTGATTTGATGCTCGCTCTCTGCCTGATCTGTTGTGTCGAACAGCGATAAGGTACCAAGTGCTAAGGTTAACTAAACACTTTAGAGAATGAGCGCTTGTTCCAACATTCCCAAACAGGAAAAGGACAAATAAGACTTATCGAAACAAATAACTGTAAAATGGGCACGTACTGAATGAGCAACAGGTAAATATGGTCTTTCCCTGCATGCGTCCACCCTTTCATTGATAAATATTGCAAGAACGCCCACACCTTTTAGCGCATTCCTCATACCCAATAGAGAGCCTAATGTCCGTGGGAAAGCATCAAGCATTAACAGTTATGATTACAAACTGAGGGATTAGCCGTTTTCTCTGTGCATAAGTCTTAATAAGCTCTCTTATGTTGCAAATGGCCCCTTTGGAGGTGTTCAGCCTGGCCCGATGCTCGGCGAAAATGTCGTTTACATTCACAGTACCGAGGTCCAACAACTTGTTGCAGGCATCTCTAAGCTCCAACGTCGCCTGCTCAATAACCTTCTTTAGGTGAGACGTCTAAGTGTAGGATCTTGTCTTCAGTGAATTGCGTATCTCCTCTAAGTCCTTTTTCTTTTCCAACAATGCACGTATTGATTCGGTCACCGTAGTAACTAGCTGAAAGGCGATAGATAATAAAACGCTTAACTGATAAAGCATTCCATTACATGATTTGTAACTTTTCGAAACAATACATTTGCTTAAAGTAGAGTCGACAAGTGCCTAAATTGATCACCAAATGCGTCAGTTTTTCCTCTTCGTTCACCATGATGAAATTGGTCAGACGATTTCAGGCATTCCAATAGCACGGCAATTAGTAAACAGACAACCAAAATCTACTTGGCTGGTTATGCTGAATGCAAATTTCGGGAAGAAGGAGCAGGAGAGAGGAAATGAAGTAATGGAGGAACAAGAGCTAGAACCAAATGGCCTTACCTTTGCGTAGTGGGAATCCCAGCACCTAGGACAGACTCGCGCCTCACAATGCTGGCAGTCACGCAGAACCGGTGCAGGATGCTTACAGACTTTACAGGTGGCTACAAAGCTCCACCGTTCCTACACATAGCGTTGTGTTACTAGTGTCTCAAGAACTGCGTTGCGTGCAGCAAAACCAAGAGGGCATAGACGGTTGCAGCGGATGCACCACACTTCAGCTTGATTGGGCCGAGCTACGAGGCAGAGCTCCAAACAATACGAGTGATTGCATGGCAGAGTGTAGGGCACGTGTAGACTGTAAGAGGCAATAAACCACTAGATGTTTGTGCTATCTTGACCAGTGTATGGAATAGCAAGTAACAAATATACCCTGTCTACCCTCACTTCCACTATTACCAACTCTCCTACTCCTACAGGCTGCGTAGCCCAGTTCACTACAAACAAAATTAATCAAAGCAACACACAACAGTAGTAGTTAATGCGTGCTTGAAGCAGTCTCAAGAAATGCACAAAATTACTTTGGCCCACTTCAACCACATCTCCTGTACCTGTTAGTGTCTGCATTGCAGCTGGGTGGGCGGGATGGACAATGTCCCTTGTTGTGACTTGCAGTGCTGCACTGGTTACACGTGATGTCTATGTAACAGTACTTAACAAGGTGTCATGCCCTTTGCTAGTAGCACAGAACAGGTTTTAGGGTACAGGGGGGAGGGGCCATTCGTCCTTGGCATTAATGTACCGGTAGATTTGGACAAACGGAGTCCACGAGGCGTAAACTCAGCTGAGATTTGGAAACAAGTAACTGTCCCTGTATGCACACTGCAATGAAGAGTTATCATGCTCAGAGTTAGCATTTCTTTCTTGCACCGCCATATTTGGCAAACGAGTGTGGTTGCCTCAACGGTAAAAGACTGTAAGATGCAGATGGTGAGGCACTGAAATTGGTTGTCAGTCATTATCCTCGGTATAAAGCCTACACACTGATGATTGACCCTATCTGTGTGAGTTTCGTAGACCCTACTGGCACATTTAGTCAAGCTCAGCAATTTTTACGCCGATGGAACACCAAAGGCTGCTCACCAACAACACCTCAGAGCGAATACTAACAATTGCGTCGAAGTTCAGGTGATTTGAAACGCAGTAAAATGATAATGGCTGGTACAAAATTGTCTATTTTACTAAGCAAGCAATAGAAATCCGGCCAAGCAGACAAATTTACTAATTGTGGCAAATTTCAGCAGCTGTACACATTATTAACAAAAGAACACTTACTACTTCCCACACATGCCACACAGTAAGTCTTCTCACTGCTTGGCCTCAAGAGGTGGCTGCATGCGAAAACTCGGACTGACACTAACAGTTTGTGCGGGGCTGCGGCACACAAAACTTTATACCCCTCCCCCATTGGTCTATTTTCATCGCTAGTCCATTTTCAAGTCATGTGATTGGTTGGCTGAACTTCACGTTGCACAAGCCGCATGAATGTGGTTCGAAATGGCTGACTTGCCTTCACTAAATCAATTCGTACCCCTTTCTCTTTCATCACAGCACTAGAAATAGGTGAATGGATATCATTTCAGGCCCGTTATGTCAGATTGTGTTGTGTTTCGCCTTGTGTTACGTTGCTATGTCAGTGGAAGTTACTAATGCACCGAGGGCTGATTACCCACCGGCAGATGTAAGAGCATTCTACGAGTAAAATAACACGAGACATGTTAAGAAAATAGACTTATTAAGTATTGTACCCTCCAAGCTTAAAAGGTATTGCATGATTGGGCCTGAGATAGAAGTGCAGAGGTAAAAGTGCCTGTCTGTAGCAAACAGGGCAACAGTAGCTGCATTTCATTCCAATGGGATTAAGACTTCAGTGAATCAGTTGTCAGCAGTTTCAGTAATCCACCTATGGAGTTACGTGTCCATTTCCCCCAACAATAGACGGTCTTTGTAGTTTGACAAACTACCCACTTTCTCAGTTCCGCAACTTCCAGATTTGATTCCACTTTCCCTTGAAAATACAAATTCTGCAATACGGGCATCATTTTTGACTGCTGTAAGAAGTGAAAAAGACGAAGAATAATAAAAACTAAAAAAGGATTCACTGACGGTCAAGTGGAAGGAAGAGAATAACAGCGGCACATTGGATCCAGCTTTGGTTTTGTTGGTGGCAGCGAGTTTGGGGGTCACGAAAGGGAGGCTACTTCTTCAAAACGGACATGACTGAACTCGTGTGAGTATTGGCCAATTTATACAAAGACAACTAATTGTCCACCAGGTGTGACTCACCCCCTGTCAATGGGGCTCGGTGGCCTTGTAGTGCAAATCACGCAGTTCTTTCTACCAAGCGGTAAATGTATATCGCGGATATGGCATGGCACAAAATGATATGTTTACCCATTGCAATCCTAAGAAATTCAAATCAGTCTTTATGGGAGATTTACAAAGATTGTATTAACATGGTTTTAAAGTTTGTGGGAAATAGGAAGAGAGCGGGGAAGGGGGAAAGCGTTCACCTATGTGCATATTTGAAAGTAAATGAGGTCAACTGTAAACAAACACCTTCTAACCGAAAGGAAGCAGACACCGCCAGATGGAGGATATCTGCGTACGTGCAGCACATTGTGAGCCACTGTGAGGGTAGTAGGAACCTCGACTCTCTGTGTGACGCATGTCATTTGGAGTAGTGACAAACATGCATTACCTATATTCCTGTTCAGACAGTACAAATTAAGCAAAAGGGGAGTCTATTGCAAGAAATCTGCCGCCACCTTCGTCAAACTGTGCCATATGCATGTGGGACATTCAGTATTCGGCATTCGCAACATTCGAAGCGATTTTCACTGTCGCTGCTGCGCTCTGAGTCATGTGTTAGTGCAACTAAATGCCTATTGCCTATTTGAAGAAAGCAGGAGGCTTTCATTGGCACCAGATCTGGTCATCAGTTGGTTGTTCATGGCTTTCCATCTGTACCATGTAAGAGACATTCACAGTCTCTTTTGCTCGTTTTGGTGCAGTCAACAAAGTGTGCCTGGAAAAACGGATGCATATAGCTATCGTAGCATTCTCCACTGCAGAGGCGCTGTAAATGGCAGCAGTGGCGGCTCCTTTCTGCCTTAAGGGTGTAAAGCTTTGCACCTCCTTGTCCAAAAATCATCTATGAAGATGTGGAAGTACTTGATGATTCGCTTTCGTTTCTCAAATATTTTGCTGCTTGTAATGCAAGATCGTCGTATTGCTCTGCTCAGTATTCTTACTTAACGCTTGTTTCTGATGTCTGGTTACCTGTTTCTGATTTCTGATAAAAGTTGTAACGTGTTTGTGACATTTGAAAATCCTTACTTTGTTAGTAGGCAAAGCTCATACAGGAAATCAGTTGTGTCTGATAATTCTCGTAAATGCACAGTGATGCACAGTTGATCCGGCAGAATAAAAGGATTCTAAAGGGGTAAGTATGGGAAGAAAGGACTAATTACGTGCGGTAGTGAATGCAAACATGAGTACCGTAAACAATAATCGTAACACTGAAGGCAAGGAGGGCAGCATTGAGTGCTAGGATGGCAAAATTTCCCACTGCAGACATTTCACCCACATCACAGGCACGCAGGTGATTAATAGCAATGAACAATTGTCTACATTCCTGCGCATAAGCTTTCCCATCACCAAGGACAAACTATACACTCGAAGAGTAATTACCTCTTAAAAATATGAATAAAGGAGATAATTAGTCATTCGTACTAAAATAAACCATTTAATGCATCAAACACCCTCGATGCTTAAAATGTTAACGGCACATCTAAGTGGTAAAAATGAGAAGTTAATGGCAAAATTAATCACGTAAATGAAATATACACTTTGAACTCTCTTGCCTACAAAATTGAGGGCATAAGTACTAAGCCCAACCTGCAGCACTCCGGTAGGAAAGGCATTTAGGCAGAAGTGTTCCCTGAAATCTACGACTTGATGAAAATGAAATACACTTCAGCATATTTTGAAGTAGTAAATTTTAACTATTGCTGAGAAATTGTGAA